GTGAAGCAAAAAAGTGAATGCAGGTCAGTGCTCGTGCTTTCTCATGATGGTGTGCTGCCTTCTCAAACTTCCAGATCAAATTGACAATAAGCCTTTGAGTTCCATCCTAATTTTAATTTTTTTACGCCTTAACTGCAGCCATCCTTTGTTGTCCCATCGTTGCACTTCACTTCACTTCAGTCATAGTTGTCGTTGGTAGTAGTTTGTTTTTGTATTCTCCATTGGTTTTATTGTATTCCTATGGCTTCTAGCCAGAGTTCCTCTTCTGGTTCCAGAACTCTCACTCGTTGTCACGTATGTTCCAAACATTTTCGTTTGCGTCCCGATGGCGCATTGGTTAGGCATGGAGGAAAGGTTAAAGGTTCAGAATGTTCCGGTTCCCTGGCGAAGCCCAAGACCGGGTCAAAACGCGCGTCATTGGGAAACGTTTCCGGTTGCGCCCCTGCCGCCAATGCCGTTGGCAACGTCTCGATCAGCAGTGCTGCACCGCAACAGGTTTCTAAAATCGACATGGCAGAGAGGTTTTTCAGAAAATCTGCTAGTTTTTGTTTAATGGATCACATTCCCAAACATTCAAGAACAAAATTTGGTCAGACGCTGGCTAAAGTGGTAAAGGAAATTATTGATAAACCCTCTATTTCAATCAGTTGGTTCAAATTGCTCTTTTTACCAGCAATGATCTTGAGGAAAAGTCATCGCGGCGGCAGACGTCATAATCCAACTGGACTAATCAATCAGAGGATTGACGATTTTGGCGGACAATCCGTCGAGAAGATGGCTGACTGCTTGGAATTCGTTAATAAATTGGAGAATAAGAAATCAGCCGAATCTAAGTTGATATCTTCGGTAAAGTCTAAGATCGAAAAAGGAAACATAAAAAATGCGATGCAGCTTCTGTCATCAACGGACACCGTGGCACCTGATACTGAAGAGATTATACGTGCTCTAAAGTCTAAACATCCCACCGCACCCAACAACAAACAGCAAAGTCCCTCCAAGGAAAGTTCAAGCTTGTGCGTTACATCTCAACAAGTACTGGTTTGTTTAAAAACTTTCCCAAAGGGAACATCAGGTGGCAGTGACGGCCTTACGCCGGAGCATCTGAAAGACCTCACATCTTCAAAAACAGATTCGATTGATCTCATCAATTCAATCACAGCATTTATCAACATGATCTTAAATGGTGATTGCCCACCTGATGTGGCCCCATACTTTTTTGGCGGAAGGCTGGTGGCCCTATCGAAAAAATGCGGCGGGATCAGACCCATAGCTGTCGGGTGTGTGTGGAGGCGCTTGGCCGCAAAATGCGCCATGTTAGCCGTCAAAGACAGAGTGGTTCCAATTTTACAGCCACAACAGGTGGGTGTCGGCGTCAGTGGTGGGGCAGAGGGAGCGGTACATGCAGTGAGACGATTTTTGGATGGCACGCGTGATGGCCAGTGTTTGCTCAAATTGAATTTCTCCAACGCTTTTAATACTCTAAGACGCGACCATATGTTGAACTGCGCCAAATCCATTCTGCCGGAGATTTTCAATTTTTGTTATTCGGCTTATGACTCGCCTTTTTTCCTGTTCTTCGGCGACACTAGGATCCTGTCAGCTGAGGGTGTTCAGCAGGGAGATCCTCTGGGTCCCCTTCTTTTTGCACTCTCTGTTGACCCACTAATTAAAACACTAAAATCCAATTTGTTGTTGCCTACCTAGACGACATTTCATTGGGAGGTGATGTCGAGTCCGTTTTGAACGACCTTAATACTATTATAAATTCAAAAAATAACATAGGTTTAAAACTTAGTTTTGAAAAATGCGAGTTGTATATGAACAAACCTATTACACTTAACATTAAATATCCAATTAAAATACTTGAAAAAAACGAGATCGATTTTCTAGGCTCAATAATTTTTCCTGGTGAAAGCCAAAACATATCCATAGCTAAAAAATTTGAAAATTTTAAACTTATCACCCAAAGGCTAAATATCATCAATAAACATGATGCAATGGTCCTTCTATTACAAGCTGCTTTTTTGCCTCGTCTTGTTTATTTTTTGAGAACATCCCCTCTGTTGGATGTTTCGATCCTCAATAGTTTTGACGATCACCTCCGTGACGCATTCCAGTCCATCTTCAACATAAAACTCGATCAAAAAAATTGGTTGCAGGGGACGCTGCCTATATGTGTTGGTGGCCTGGGTTTGGGTTCCGCGGCTGAGCTGGCATCTTCTGCCTTTTTGGCTTCTGCTGCTGCCACGGTGGCCCTCCAGGATCTGATGTTGCCGAGGGATGGGATTTATGTCGATAACTTCAGAATGCAAGTATACGACATGTGGCGCGCCAACGGAGATGTGGTTGCGCTCGAAAACCCCTCGCAAAAACACTGGATCGCCCCCTGTCTTAATAGATCAGTTGATCGGTGGCTGCAACTGAATGGCTCTACTTTTGACAAGGCTAAAATTATGGCTGTCAAAAGTGGGTTGGGCTCCGCCTGGTTGAGAGCGCTACCCAACACCTCCTGCGGCACTAGATTGGATGACTCCTGTGTTCGCGTGAGCCTTGGTTTGAGACTCGGAGCCCAGATCGTCACCGAATACGGATGCGCATGTGGGGCAAGGGTTGATGAACTTGGATACCATAGCCTTTCTTGTCGTCTAGGTCCTGGAAGACAAGCCAGACATACGGCTGTCAACGAATACCTGGTACGATGTTTTCAAAAGGCTGGTATCCCGGTTATAAAAGAACCCATGGGTTTGATAGAGGAAGGAGCCTTTAGGCCTGATGGTTACACTATCACCCTATGGGCTCAGGGACGGTCCCTGGCTTGGGACGTTACCTTACCCCACACTATGGCTGACCGATATATCGGCTACACTTCAGTTGAGGCGGGCACTGCTGCCCTTAAAGCGTCCGATTTCAAAAATGAAAAATACGTTTCATTAAACAATTTAAGCAAAATATTTCAACCCATTTGCATTGAAACGTTCGGACCAACAGATAAGCACACATCATTATTTATTAACGAATTAACAAGAAAAATAGTTAATATAACGAGTGATCCTAACGAAGGCAATTATTTAACTAAAATAATTAAAACTTTAATAAATAAAAATAAAATTTTAAAACTTTAAAAACTATAATAAATAAAAACTTTAATAAAAAAATTTAATTAAAATAAACTCTTTCACTTTTATTACAAAAATTTAATTCCTTTTGCATTCTGGATAAAGCTGCTAGATACCTGACTGTGCGAGACCAGGGACATAGATAAAAGTTGAACTCGGAAACGATGCATGCCTAACCATGGCTTGTCA